GTGTTATGGAATACTCTTCCCCAAGATATTAGATTATGTTCAAGTTTGGATAGCTTTAAGAAAAAGCTAAAAACATTTTTATATAAAGAGGCTTGTTGTTAGTTTTTAAGATTAGTTATTCATTTTATATATATTTATAATTACTAGATTATTATATTTTTATAGAATGTAGTCATTAAGATAGTTTAGTAGTTAGATTTTTGATTATTTGATATTTCAGTAATTATTTATATTTGTTATATTGTTTGTAAAGCGCTTTGAACATAGGTAAAAGCGCTATAGAAATAAAGTTATTATTATTAGTTATTATTTATCACCGCGCAAGTATTGAAATGGACGAACGATTTGGGGGCGCTGTATTCCTCCGGGACGCGTTGGGGCTTGGAATACTGGACACAAGAAACACATGTTTTAAATCTTTTTTTATGAACCAGATTTCATAGTAATCATTTTTATTTTTTAAGTCTTTGCAAGAAAAGAGCGCTGAGTATACGACGGAGACGAGTCGATTAAATGACGAAATTGTAAGTACCTTAGACCTAGGGCAAACGTCGAGCTTTCCATGCACCGAACTCATTAAAAACAATGGATATCAGGTGATAATGAGGCGGCATTCTTTGATGTAATTAAGTTCGGTGCATGGAAAGTTCGACGTTTGCCATAGGCCTCCTTCGTGTTTCATATCTGATCTGTAGAGGTCACGTGATGGCAGCCATGACAAAATAGCAACAATTGGTCTAATCTGATTTGCATGAGAAAAATTTCATTTTTCCAGGTTATGTTTACCAGGTTAGAAAGAATCTATTGTTGTGCCTCCTGTCATGGCTGCCATCAAGTGCAAAGCCTCTATGCTATAGAAACCAGTAGACTGTAAAATGATAGGAGGGAAAAAATACATTATTTCATATTTCTTCCAAGAAATCGTTGAGGACCCAAAGCGCTGAGAAAGAAGAAAGCAGCAAACAAGAGCTTTCAAATTTAATGGGAATTCTAAAGAACGTAAAAGAAAAGCTTGAAGAAACAAAGGTAACACTCACTTATGGTAACCTAGCCTGTCAAGCTGGACTATGGGGTCTTGTGATGAGTAGTCCATTCCCTTTCTCACCAGTCCCCCAACTCCGACTCCCCTTTCCCTCAAATCCTCGTTTCCAGACCCCTTGTTCCTAGACACGAGGCCTCTGTGACTGTTTACTGATAGGGTGGTAGAACAGTTAAAGGCCGCCAACATTGTCTTGTACAGCGTTATAGAAACGTTGCTATTTTTTCCTTTTTAGACAAGGTATGAAGAAAAAGAAGCTGAAGTTAAGAATCAACAAGAACAAGTAARGATTGTCTTTAGTTGTTTATATTTTTCTTAGATATAGAGGATATTACATGGGCGCGCGGAGATACGAATTTTATCTTCGAGTGTTCAATTGATATCTCACGAGTGAGCGTAGAAATAGAGAAAAATAGATATTTCATTTGTAATTATGTAATAAATTGAATTATAGCATTTAAAGAAGAGTGTTATTTTACTAGTTACACGATAGTTTTGGGTGGCAAAACCATGGAATATCTCACAATGCACTTGATTTTCTCGCATATATTGGTTGAATTTTACGAAGAAAAATACAAGTGGGATATTCCATGGTTTGCCACATCGGAAAACTATTTTATTCAAACCATTGAAAACACGTTGGCCGCAATGTCTGATGGAAAGGAACAGTGGGATGTTGCTGAATACACAACTGGTTCCTTGAAATCTGATTGGCTGTATTTTCGGAGGTGTGGGATAAATAATACATATGTGCAACATGAGCCCTTGTTGAAAAATCACGGGTCTTTGTTAATTTTTTGACCTAAGGGTTTTCTTCCGCCTTCTAAATTTTCTGCTGAACACAATGTTTTGTTTGTTTGGCATGTACCTAGATCATCCAGTTGAGTAATGATCTTAGTGAATCACAAGAAGCGATGCTAGAACTGGGCGAGGTAAGGACTTTAGGGATCGTTTATTCTTTACGGGCATGGGGAGGCTGTTGGGATTTAAGGGGTTCGGTGGGATTTGAGTAAAGTGGGGGGGGG